CAGATAGCCAGAAAAATAAGGGGTGAGGAATGGGAGAACAAGTGTCTGGCTGCTAAGTGGTGCATGTGGCCCAGCTGGCTCTTGGCTATGGGGTGAGGGTAGCCTGGGTTGGACCTAAGCTGTCCAGGCCATCTGACTTCATGACCTGAGTCACTGTGAACCCCAGCAATGTCTAACAGGGTTCCATCTGAGCCACACAAGTCAGCTCCAAAAGTGGAACAAGATAGAGCAAGACTGAAAACAGTACGTGAGAAGGGCAGTGAGGCAACAGAAGGACAGCAGCAGGAGGAAGGCCAGGCTAGATCCCAGTGACCCAAATGGCAGTGGGATCCACGCACAGCTGGCTGCCCTGGTCCGGCCTTGTGAGTGTTTCTAACTCCGAGCCTCCCAGACACCATCTCTTAGAGTTAGGCCATGTGCCTTGAATTTGGCCTTGTTATTCTTCCCTAATTGTAATTTGAATTGATACCCTGAAGTAAAGAAAACTAAGAGTAAAATCTCAGCCAATTCTGTAATGTAGGGCAACATCCCGGTTGGCTTAGTGAGGCAGAAATCAATTGATGCTGAAGGAGCTCCACTTGCTAATGCCAACAGTGCCATTTGTTTTATTAGTCTGCATGGGCTTGATCTAACTCTTGCTAAAGTCAAGGAGTGAATGTAAAGCCTGTCCTAACAATCAGCCTTATCACATTCAGGAGAAACAGTGCTCTTGATGTTTGCTGCCAAGGTTTAATTGTGTTCAAGTTAATGTCAGAGTTGAACTTAAGCTGTGCTTGACTAACAGCTATTGCTATGGCAAGAATCATAAACCAAGGGGAACTAGCTTATAAATTAGCCATTTCGTCTGGGCCATCTTCTCTGTGTACTGCAAATGGGAAAAAACAAATGCTGCACCACTCTGCTGACATGTAACAGCATGCAGCAGGACTGTGATCAGATGTCTCCTTCACAGTAAGTGTTGGCTTGTTAGCAGTGAGAGGCTGTTGGGCAATGCAGTTAGGAAAAAGGGCTCCTTTGGTGACTTCCGGGAGGTGGGAAGAGATAGGAAGAGAATGGAACAGGCTGCGAGGGACTGCGCATAAGAGATGGGTGAATGTTGAAAAGTTAAGACACGAGTCACAAATATATGTGTGCACGTGTATGAACAAATTCCCTAGAGACAGGGTAGAGCTCGGCTGGGGTCTGGACTGGGAGCCTGGAGGGAAAGGATGAGAAGTATGAGCAGTGCTGCAGTTTAGGCAATGAGATGTGAACCTTTACATGGGTGTCCAGGGAGGCTTCCCCATTGCCTTATAGACAATGAGGAATTGCTACGGAGTTCAACAGTAAACAGAACATTATCATTGCATCCTGAATAATACATAAGGTGTGTCCTGACTATTTTCTTGGGTTTATGCCAGGTCTAAGAGAGATCAGATGAAGCATTTTTAAAATGTCTGCTCGATGTCTTTGTGACCGAATGGTGAGAGAACGTTAGAATGAATTAGTTGGAACACAGAGCACTAGAGGGAATGAAAACAGCAACACTTCTGAGTAATGTTTCCTTCAGTGTAAATATATTTTAGTTTTGTTTTGTCTGTTTTCTTACTGCTGTTGTCAGTAGTGGTGGTGGTTTCGCTGGTTTTTATGAGTTATGAATCTAGTTGAAAGAACAGCTTCTATCTTAGAGTCTTCAGCTGGTAAAAACCATCCGAAGATTCCTCTTTGGTGCATAGACACAAAAATAAGGACCTAAAATATTCTTTGTCTTTGGTTTTGGTGCAGTTGTTGTTCAAACTGATGCTAGGTATATACAGGGCATGTTGCTGCTGAGCCTTGTGGGTGAGTCCGTCCAGAGGCTGAATAAGCCTACCTGACACCCTAGCACTACCTGAAGTGTCTATAGTGGAATCAGCAGGGATTTTTTTTTCATTAGAGATTATCATTAATTGCAACTATTACTATTTCATTTGAAAGTACAGCTTGGGAATTGCAACATTTTCCACTTCTCCCTTGGCTCAGTATCTCATGGCATTTCAGATTTCACTGGGAAACGCTGTCAGGAGGGAACAGAAGGGACCGTGCAGGCCAGAAAAGTCTTTGATCTCAGTCAAAAGAGTATTTATGAGCCACAGATTCCCCAGCAGTTAACTGTGCGTAGGCATCATGCACCATGTGTTCCAGTGTTCCTATTTACTTTCAAGTATTAGAGTTCCACTACCTTGGTTTAGCTAATGGTGCCTCTGAAACAAGACCTGTTAATGGTAGGAGCAGCAGCCTGGAGGAGTTCTGACTGCGTTTCCGCAGGTGTTCGCACAGCTCTGGCTCACAGAGGCAGTGCTGCCGACCTGCAGTAGACAGCAATCCCCTGTAGCACCTGTAGAACTCAGCATGCTTCACAAGTGGCAGTCCCAGCTCTGGACCCCAGCTCATTCATGGAGCACACCCACAGCAACATCTCATTCCCTCAAATGCCCTGCTTGTGAATCAGGGGATTTGGGTATCAAAATGTGAGCTGACATACAGCTGGAGGAGCACACTGCACCTGATGCTGCTTGCCCAGCTGCTTATTGCTGCATCCCAAGCCCTTCCCCATCCAGCTGCACTTGAAAGGAATTGAGAGGGGAAATTGCTGTGAAAGGGCTGCACCTCCTCTGTTTTTCCCCAGGGATCCAGTTCAGAATGTCCAACCTGTAGAACGCCTGAGCTCTTCAGGCAAGAAACGTGTATTATCTAGTTTGCATTTTATGACAGCATATGAATGTTTTGCTATAACAACAACAACAACAGCAATAGTAATTAGGGCTGTGAGAGCCCTGGAGGGCTGGAAAGGAACCAAGCCCTACAGGTTCTCTCGGATGTTCAAGTTTGACGAGACTGAACCATCCAAGTTTAACCCCATCTCTGGTGCCCTCTCTCACCCCACTGGCTGCCATCAGAGCAGGACATCTGCTCTGTCCTCCCAGTGTCAGCTGGGACCGGGACAGCCTGGGGCCTCGTGAGGGAGGAACCCGCAGCCGCTGAGGATGGGAGTGAAACTCACTGAACTTTCGTGAATGTGGGCTGAGGGTCGTGAATCATCGGCTCTGCAGCTGAGGCCAGGCCCTAGTGGGTTTGACAGCCTGCACTGAGAGCCTACTGGTCTGGGATTGCATCACTGCCCTGTGTCCTTAGGGTGCACTGAGATCTCTGGGTGAAAGTCCCCTTCTGTGGGACTGTGAAGGCACTAAAACTGAACGTCTGCTAGGCAGTGCTATATGGTAGAAGCCATCCTTCTCTGAAATCTCCTCCTCATGTCTTTCATTGGATCTTCAGTCTGGGTGGCAGCAGGATCTGGAGCTGATACTGAAGGAAGAAAACTTTTTTTTCCTCATGCTCCACACGGAAAGCATATGTGGGTGTGGAAGGAAGAGATGTTGCTGATGCACCCAAGGGTCTGCACCAATTACTGGGACACTGCACTGACCTGAGGCTTCGCACCACCCCCCAGGGAGGCCCTCATGCTCAGATCATGGAGTGGGGGTCCAGGCTGTCCTCCTCACCTCTAATCCCAATTCCCACAGTGTTGTCTCAGCTAATCGCTGCCTCTGTTTTCCTCACTTATAAAATGTGGGGGTAATAACTGTGCATACCTCACAGAGGGCTGTGATGATTCGTTAATTAAACGATGTTTGGGAAGTGCTTTGAAGATGAAAAGCTCTATATAAATGCTGGGTGTTACTAGTGCTTAGTGAGTACCTTCACAGCCACAAGCAGGGTGTGCCTGCAGGAAGCAGGGCCATCGGCTGAGCCTCATGGCTAAGTGCCTTTTAAAATAAATGCAATCTGTGAATGTACTGGAGGTCAGCTTCCCTGTTTCCCCCCAGGGGTAAGCTCCCACCTCTAAGGAGCTGAGGGTTTTCTTTGCCTCCTGCACTTCTGGAAATCACAGAAGTGATTTGGAAGTGATGAGGAAAGAACTGTACCCATGCTGGTGACACTGGGAGTTCAGACATCACAAGCAACAAGTTTAAACTAATCAGGTCCAAAAATCTGTATGCTCAATGTACAGTATTGTCCTAACGAGTAACAGAGCTCTTGGGATGTGAGGTTAGCAGAACAGCAGCTCTCACAAATCCAGTTTACCAGGAAAATGTGTGTTTTTGTATGTTTAAATGCCAGCGTAGCACACACATGCATTGTCTCTATAGAGACAACCACTCTGCTGACATGCAGGTGGCTGCTCACGGAGACAGGTCTATCTGTGCAGTCATACTAATTACATGCATGCTTTGGGTATAGGAAGGCAAATCTGTACTTGCTCCTTCATACACATGTTTGAATGAAAACATAGATGCTGATTTCCTCTTCTTCCCAGTGCCCCTGGAAAATCAAGTATTTAATATTCACCTGACTAGGCAGAAATAGGAGAAAAGGGATTTTAGTTTAGTTTAATTGTTCTTAATGACAGCCTGCTACATTTGACGGATTCTTCTCAAGAAGTCTCAAGACAAGCAACTTCTGTCAGGTGTACGATGCGTTTTTCTGTCTTTAGCAAGATGCACTGAATCTTCATTTTCTGAATTGGCAGGGACGTCGCTTCTTTCACAACTCTCGCCAGGTTTGTCAGGGAATAGCATACCTGCAATAATGTATGACCCAGAGCAGATGTCCAGATGGAACTAGTGGCAGAAACTGATAAGGCAAAAGCAGTGCTTAGTTTTAGCAAGACTTGATTACAGAAAGTCAACAACTTAAGACCAAACTTTGAAGCAGATTCAAATGCTCCCGAATAAAAGATTGAGTCAAAAGCAGGAAATCCTTCTGAAATGGATCTACAAACCACTTCAAAAGCAAATGTTAGTTGTTAAGTGTAGTGATTTATAACACTAAAATTCATCAGATCTTTCGCTGGTTCTTTATATTCTAAAATTATTATGTAAAAGAAGATGTAGATAACTGAATCACAGCTAAGCAGGGCTTATGTATGGTGTCAGGAATAATGCTGAAGAACTACAGAAATGTCTTGTGGATGTTACCAGGGGATTATACCATCCTGGCTTTGCAAGCACCAAGACCTGTAGAGAGCAGCTGGTGGCCAACAGGCTCTGCTTTGAGCAGGAAGCTTTATTTCCTTCATCCTGGAATATCCTTCTGGTTTGTCCCTCGTCATGGAGTATATCAGGTATCTTGACCATGCAGTATAACTGAGCACTAGCCTGGGACACAAGTGTACTGCCACAGGCAGGTTGGGATACTTTAAATCTGTGCTTCAGTTTACCCATTGATTAAGATGATAACTTTCCCAAAGTGCTGTGGTGATTAATTATTAACATTAGTGAAATGCTTTGAAGATATAGAGTGCTACATGCTGGCTAAAGATATTCATTACCTCGGACCTATGATTGCATTCTTACGTTTACATAATGAAGCAGTCACGGAAGAGGTGCATAGATGGTCTCTCCTGGCAAACAAATTCTCCTATTCAGCTATCTCTGGCATCACTATCTAAATCTAAATCAAATCCTTTTCTTCCATTGGGAATCTGCTCTTGGAGCAGGCTGAAACCGTGTGCTCTGTGTGATGCTCCCAGGATGGCAAGCAGCCACAGCACTTTTGATAATTTTAGTCCCTGCCCAGCCCATGAAACTCACCTCACCCAGAACTTGTTTCAACTTCTCCAGCTGTTCTTGGCATGCGCTGAGATTTCATAAAGTTGATGCCATCAACTCCCACACATATGGCAAGAGAGAGTGAGAGAGAAAACCCACACATGGTAACTAATATATAGGGAGAAGAGATATTTGCATGGGAGAACACAAACACAAGGATTTTCTAGCTGGCTCTGATGGCTTTCAACTATTACTGCTAAGATGTAAAGGGGTACTCAAATTAGGAGGGTGACTCAGATGGAGCCCTTTCTTGTGTACAGCTCCAGGAAGATGCACGCTGCTCCGAGCAGGGCTGCTCCATTCATTTTTATGGAGGTCAGTTGAGTAGTTCTTACTGCAGTCCCACAGGTGCATAGAGCATCATCATTGCTTGGACCCTGCCAGGCTGGGCAGACAGCAGGCAGTGGCTCTACCATAGTGGCATATTGCAACTGCTTGCTGCCAGGCTAGTGAGGAGTGTAGAAGGTGACATATGTCTCAGCCACCAGAGAAGTCTAGATTCAGAATGCAGTCTGCCCTTTGAGTTACTTCTGCTAGATATTTTACAGTACAACAATGGTATTGTCCTTATAAACACTTTTTCCTTTTCTTTTGGAGGCAAGTGCATAATTTTTCAAAATCTTTCAGCCTCTGAGACTTGTCCATCTATAATTCATTACCAAGATGATGCCTAGTTATGTGATAGATCCTTTTAATCTCACATCAGTTTCACTACAAAAAAATTTGCAACTGCACGCAAGGGAGAGTTTGAACACAAACACACAGTGCAGGCAATGACACAATTTTCCATACTCACATTGAGATCTGGGCAGATTTCCAGAGGAATCCGCATTTGTCTCCTTTAGCCACAGCTTCAGGAGGAGCATGGTTTGTTCAGTGCTGAGCAGTCAGGCAACAGGTTTGCTCAAGGTCTGGATAACTAGCTGTTGTCCTCAGGATAAGAGAAAAACAGAAATAACGCCAAGCCTCAGTGCAGTACACAGCTTCTTACTCTGTAGTGTGAGTGGGCACTGGACACATATCAAGACTCACTGCCTCTGTATTAATGAGGAACTTGGCTATGTTCTTCTCTGCCAGTCTCCTTCACCGGCCAAGAACAGAATTACTTCCTTGGAGTGTCTCAGTCTCATATCCCCACCATGCAATTTAGCAGTGTTCATCTCCTTTGTGTTCAGGGTCCAGCCTATGGGCTGCAGTTGCTTCAGTAGTCATTAATGTGCTACATGCTTAGAAAGCATTTTAATATATCTTATAATGATTGGAAGGTTGCAACGACAGTTTGCTAACTATCTTATTGCATACTCAGCCCTGCAAAAACTTGTCCACACTGTGGGGTTCATTGAACACTAGGTATGTGGACATACGTTTCCTTTTCTATTTATAGTCTCTGTTTTAATAAAGACCACAGATCTTTCCAGGTGAGTTACATGAATTTAGAACAGTTAGCATTTGCATGTATTAATTTTGTAGAAAAACAGGTACTGCTAGTTGGTTAGGACTCTGACTGACTGCTATCCGAGATTTCATTGGATACCAGCTGCAAATCTTATTAACAAGACTTTGTTGATGGTTGAGACAATGACACGATTTCCAGCGGCGAGGAGCACCTGCAGCTTTGGCTTCGCAGTGACCTGGGAGGACTCAGCACCTCGGACAACGCCTCTGCGCTCCTGCGCCGCGCGGAGAGAAACGCACAGGAGCCACGGGTTTCCACGGCCGTGTGCGCAGCAGCGTAAGCATCCAACCTGCGTGTACGCCTGCTCAGATTTCCGGTACTTCTGCAGCAGTTACACACCTGAACTATTCTGATGAATTGCAGAATATAAGAGCCAAGTCCTAGAGCTACTCATCTCACAATCCATGAATATGAACCGATTGTATTTTTAAGGTCAGCGCTTGGGTTTCTGAGCTCAGGCACTGAATTTTTATATGCTCTTATCTGAGGAAGTATCTGTAGTGCCCTCTCCCCATGGTAATACTCACTGATGCCACTGTGCCTGGAGTTTTGTTCCATGTTTCATTGATTGCGTGATCGGAAATGCTCTTTCCGTAATTTCCTCTCACTTCATTTTACTAATGACAGATCTTTACTCCCTGCAAAAATACCTTCAAATTCTTGATTTCTTTACTGGGTCACTATTAACTCTTCCATGCTGTATGTAATAATGCTGGAGATCCTCTGTAGATAGGCTTTATGCCAGTCTCCTGCATAAGACTGAATTACGTTTTGAGCAGGTATGAACTTGGAACAATTCCTACCTCCCAGGTAAGATAACTTATTCATACCATGAATCCTGCACAAACAGAATAGGCTAGGAAGCTGGAAGGAAAGTTTTCTAACTCAAAGCTGAATTTATCCTGACGAAGAATATGTGCAACCAACTGCAAGAAAACAAATTATTGTTCTGATTTATTTTCCACTGTAGAAATAATTGGTAACATTGTTCTTCTTGGCAAAGATGAATACTTGGAACCAGACTATTTCACATAGACAAAATATCCACAGGGAGAGATTTCTGAGGCAGTCATAGGATGCACCCTACTGAGTGTGATTCTCATGACATTAAAGCAGTGCTAAGGGCACTGTGATTAACTTGTAATGAAGAAAGAAGTGAACCTGACAAATGCAGCATAAATAAATGTGCTTTGGAAAAGACAATAAAAACGTTAAATTTTAGGCAAGGTCTGGATCACACTGAAGCCAAATGAGATGAGCGTACTGAATTTTGCCATAACAGGCAAAAGAATTTATGACCATAGAGGACGAAGAAATACTGCTATGAATCTGAGTTGCTGAATAACTCTGTACCACAGAAGAGATCCCCCAGAGTTTTGCAATAGTAGCTGTTGTGCTGCTTTGTGGAATTCTCTGACCATTTGATAATATTTGCTCTTTTTAACAGCAAAATCCACGCTGCTTCTTGAAAGCTTTTAGAATATTTTCCTTTGTGCTTTTATCATAGAGAAGAAGGCAGGACTACATTTGGCATTTAGGATAGGGAGCCAGCAGTCTGGATTCTTTTCAGCTTTGTCACTAAATTGTGGTATGACTTTGGTCTACTGCTTGTAAAGCTTAAAGAAGCTATGGGAGTCTCTGTGCCTCGCAGAAAGTTGTTTGTGCCTACCAAAGGGACCGCCTTTGCAAAAGCTTGGCACTCGGCAGCCTCAGCTCCTCCACTGCCTCTTTGCAGTCTGGCAGAAATTACTCCCACCTGCAGAATCCCATGAAGCTGAGAGGTACAGGTTCTCAGGGCTACCCACATGTACTTCTTTGACTCAGTCTGTGATCTCTGTGGAACTGTAACATTGTACCTTTGTTAATTTGCTTTAATCCCAACACCAGACAAGCCTCATAGTAAAACCCTAGATTGTGAGGAAATAAACAAAGAAAAATGAACATTATTTCATTTCTAGCTTAAGTTTTGAAACTACAGGAAGATGTTTTAGGCTATCCTCCCTGAAACCTCAAAGAATATCCATGTTAGTCCCAGTCCTGAATATACATCATGTTCTATCCTTTTTTTGGCAATTATGTGAAGTTCTCTGTACTTTCATTCCCTAGGAATCAGGTTGTACAATATAAATGCATTTGTAATTGTCTTTCACCACAGCCAGACGCAATGGATGTTTCACCATTGGTTCCTCTGGGTTTAGATCTAATTGACCGGGAGATGTATGATCTCTGTAAATACACCTGCTGGCCCTTCCTGGGAACTGAATGCCTTGTTATTTTTCCTTTCCTCCTATCCAGCCTGCTGACTACTGCTTCCCACCCACTCTGAGCTGCTCCCTTAATTTCTTTATACAGAGTTACTAGAGTTATTCAAGACACTGGCTATACACGGATTCCATTAAGGTTATGATTTGCAATGTCTTTGTTGTTTCCTATAGAGATCTACATTTGCTACATCTTGAATACAGATTAGCTTTTGATAACAAGGTGTTCTGAGGGGACTTGTCTATGAGAACAGGAATTCCTCAGCTTTATCCTGTCACTGTCCTGTCAACTGGACTATAATTTTCAAAGCCTTCAACAATATCAGATACTTCATTTTTAACATCTGCCTTGAAATTAATCATGGAGCACCTCAAGCTTTTATTTACTTTATTTGGTTTGAGGTTCTTGACTTGAAATGAGTCCACTGCTATTGGGCACCTGGAACTTCTCCTGGCTTCATACGCATACAATCTGTGTTGTTGCCTAATTAAGAACAGCAACTAAGACTTCACAAATACAGTTTGTAAATAATGCATTTATTTGCTTGCAAAATTCTCTTGCCTTGATTTCTCTACTACAGCTACCAGCAAGGCACACACTGCAAATTTCATTCTTTATCCCAGTACCATAGAGCAAGCCGCATAATCAGCCTCATGTCTTCAGCTAACAGCCAAATGGCCCAGACCTGAGGCAGCTGACTTGGTGCTGTTGTGCTTGTAGTTACACACACCTTGACAGAGACTGTACACACCTTTGTAAACTGAACAACGCTGAGAGCAAACAGGCATC